AGATCTCATAAACATGTTTAACCCCGCCGCATTTTTGCGCCTGTCCCAAGTCAGGAGCCTCTAGCCTTTGTTAGTCTTGTATTATTTTTAATTTTAGTTTCTTGTGTACAATTTGGAGTTTAGTATGGCGTTCATTATCACTGAACTAGTATATATATTTGTTTAGGGGCCAGCTGAAGGACGCCTCCGGGTGCGGGAATTTCTCGCTGCATTGAAGACCTGTTGGTGACCTTCTGCTGTTGTCTGTTCTATGGTCGGGTTGTTGTCTCTTTGACACATTCCCCATTTCCATTCTCAATTTTATAGATGAAAGACTACGTGGTGGATTGTTTTATGTATATTTTTTTTTCTTACTTGAACATGACTTTGCTAATACTATTCTGATCATAAAAATAGCTGTAACATAATATATACTTTGTCCGTCATTTTTTATGTGATTAAAATATTTACAACTACATCTTGATCATTTAAAATATGATATCTCAAAAAGAGCATTGATTAAATAAAATTGACTTTACAGCGGTAATTGTTTTGTTAAAATAGTTAAACCTTTCAAAGTGATATTTTACACACACGCGGTGTCCAACTAAAGTGTATCAATAATTCCTATAAGTAACTCCAAGGAGAAAAAACAACAGAATTTGAGACATGCAATTGTAATTTAGACTGAAATTATTTGTTAAAATGATCTGAATGATGTTTTTTCTAGCGGTGTTTTGTTCTAATGCATTTCCTGACTTAATATGTTGCCTTCTTTATCGGACTCGGACACTAGGCATTATGAATGGTTTTACCTTGGAAGCAGAGTATTGTTATAAATCAGGATTTTTGAAAAACATGTATATTCTTGCAATTAATTGTTCTTTTCAAGTGCTATACTAGTTGTAACACAAGTCTTTGCCAATACAAGCTCCTGGTTAATGTATATAAAATAAGGAGATGAGGAATAATTGTCAATAAAACAACTATCCACCAAAGTTAAAATAAAGTCGATGTAAGCAATTATTGGCAACCGTACGGCCTACAACAATGAGAAAAACTCATACCGAATAGTCGGCTATAACCTAGTAGACCTAGTAGACAAATGTGACCTACAGAATTAGACTATTTATCCGCTATGTAATAACATGAACACGACGGGTGTCACATGTAGAGCAGGTACTGCTTACCCTTCCGGAGCACCTGAAATCAACCCCAGTTTTTGGTGGGGTTCGTGGGGTTGTTCACGCATCGTTGTCAATATAATAGAATTTGATCCTTCTGTCGTACAAGTGAGAGGTTTAGCGCTATAAAACCAGGTTCAATCCACCATTTTCTACATTTGAAAATGCCTGTACCAAGTCAGGAATATGACAGTTGTTGTCCATTCGTGTGATGTGTTTTATCATTTGATTTTGCCATTTGATTAGGGACTTTCCGTTTTGAATTTTCCTCGGAGTTCAGTATTTTTGTGATTTTACTTTTTTCTAGTAGTTTACATTGCAAGGTATGACGTTAGTTCAGAGTAACGAAGAGTAGAAATGTGATGTTCAATGATTCGTTGCCTTAAAAGTTTTAAGATTAAACAAGACAACGACGAGGGGAGTTTTTAACGACCCTAACTACCCATGAGGAGCTTGCTCGCTCTGCCTTGGCTTACGCCTTTCTTTTTGAAACAAGAGCAAATGTTCATATAACACCATACACCACTAACGCTATCACATTTCCAAGTTCAGTAAAGCGCGATCTTTTACACCCAAACCTTCATGTGTTATATTGTTAAACGATTAACATTAAATCAAAACGCATACACATTTAAGGCTGATAGTTTTATGGTTACATGTTACTACCTTTATCCAAATGTATACCTCATATATTTCTATCTTCCATGGAACTAAAAATTATGGTTATTGCCCCAAGTTGGCCAAAAATAGTTGCTCCGCAACATGAACATGTTTCTTTCTATTTCTTTAGAAGCATATACAACGAACATTTAAATTGTTAGCATTACAAATATATGTAATACCTTAAAGGTAGATTTACTGTATACCTCCATCTGGGATTGTACAACAGCAGTCCACAGTCGGTCTAGTTCTTTGTCTAAATCTGCACATTTTGAGACAGTTTTCAATTTATGTGTAAGACTTTTTACTTGTATAAAGAAAAAATAAGTGGTTTATCGCCTTATCCAAAATGTTTTAACAAATACCAAATATTTGTGTTTTTTAGAATATTTTTTTTTAACTTAGCAATTTAAGGAGAGATAACTCTTATGATAAAATTTTTAATACTGGAATGATAGTGATATGTTCATAATTTACTTGTAGCAAAAAAAAAACAAATTTCGGTGACACCATTTTTTATTTTTATCGTCTTAAAGCATTTATAAATCCTATCTTCTCATATTTTATTTCAAATTCCATCCCATAGATTTCTTTTTGTTCACCAAAATGTGCTTTTAATGAACAATCTATGCAAATTTGGGCAATTTTGCAGGACTTTTAGCTTAAAAAATAGCACGTTGACCCATACTTTTTATTGAATTATTGAAAAGAGCATAGTTAAACATTCATTTTGGAAAAGTATAAGAAAATTTTATCTGACGAAATATATACTGATGATCCATCTTAATTCAGACTTGATGAATTGTATGATAAATATATATACTCATACTTCATAATAAATTATTATACAAGAAGTCAACATATATTCATATGACGTAATTTTAGATTGTGTCAAGGGCCCTTCACAACTCGACTACCCTTAGGCTATATATATATTTATATAAACAAGTTTAAATTGAAAACAACGTTCAAACCTATGATTGCGTTGGATAAAAACCGCAATTTTTATACGTGTGCATGCAAAACAAATTTCTCGGTAGAGGGGTCTAATTACAGCACAAACAACATTTTCGAAAAGACCAAAAAAAAGTGAAAGGTATATTTTAACAAAACGCATTTGACTAGCAGGTCGAACAACGGATGTTCTCAAACCCTGCTGACTGCCATTGCGATTTCCAAGTAAACGGATCACCAGATATAACAAAATGGATCTTATTATTAATTTAATACCAAACAGAAAACAATAAACTTCCGGAAAAGATGGTATACCGCAAACATTAGGTGCAAAAATTTGAACACCATATCCGGATTTCGACAATTAATGTCTCTTCAGTGATGTTAGGAATCGAAACGGTATTTGGAAGGCCATATAATTTACCTCAATTTAGGATAGACTCTTGAATTTTGAAAGAGTCGAAATAGGATGAACGGATCATATAAACCCGAAGGCAAATATAATACAACCCCAAACGAAAAAATATAGACAAGTCTAAATTGAAAACAACGTTCAAACCTATGATTACGTTGGATAAAAACCGCAATTTTTATACGTGTGCATGCAAAACAAATTTCTGGGTAGAGGGGTCTAAATACAGCACAAACAACATTTTCCAAAAGACCAAAAAAAGTGAAAAAGTATATCTTAACAAAACGCATTTGACTAGCAGGTCGAACATCTGATGTTCTTAAACCCTGCTGACTGCCATTGGCGATTGCCAAATCAACGGATCGCCAGATGTAACAAAATGGATCTTATTATTAATTTAATACAAAACAGAAAACAAAACACTTTCGGAAAAGATGGTATACCGCAAACATTAGGTGCAAAAATTTGAACACCATATCCGGATTTCGACAATTAATGGTTCTTCAGTGATGTTAGGAATTGAAAGGGTATTTGGAAGGCCATAAAATTTACCTCAATTTAGAATAGACTCTTGAATTTTGAAAGAGTCGAAATAGGATGAACGAATCATATAAACCCGAAGGCAAATATAATACAAGCTCAAACTAAAAAATATAAACAAGTCTAAATTGAAAACAACGTTCAAACCTATGATTGCGTTGGATAAAAACCGCAATTTATATACGTGTGCATGCAAAAAATATTTCTAGGTAAATACAGCACAAACAACATTTTCCAAAAGACAAAAAAAAAATGAAAAAGTATATTTTAACAAAATGCATTTGACTAGCAGGTCGAACAACTGATGTTCTTAAACCCTGCTGACTGCCATTGGCGATTGCCAAATCAACGGATCACTAGATGTAACAAAATGGATCTTATTACTAATTTATTTATTTATATATATATTTCTCTAATTCTTCGTCAATTTATCCCTTTCTGCACCCATTGTATAAAAAAATTTAATCAACGTGTGGTTCGTTTGATCTCAGTTCTTCATTGGTTAAAATCCGATTATGACGTCGAATTTCTTTGTTTTCCTCTGAATTTTCTATGGTGACGGCATGACAAAAGGCGACCATGCCTGATGACGTCACATAGAAAGAACACATCTTTTTGCAGATCATTCGAAAAGAAGTAATAAGTTTGCCTGCATATAGTTAGAAAATCATTAGAGAAACAGATTCCACCACCAAATCTCGTGTAATACGATATGTATCCACTCTCGACAATTAAATTTTAAATATATTTAAAACGCTCGGCGAGTCTCGCGTTTTAGATTTGAAAATGTAACTTACTCGGTTGGATAAATATCGTATCACACTCGATGCAGTGGTAGAATGTTTACTTATACCATGTATATGTTGATATAAAAAGTGTGCATCGTCCATGCAATTGTTGACTTTTAATGAAACTTCAAATGTCTCAAAATATTGCCAAACATATCAATTGTTCTTACACGCTATGCACAATTCATTACTTGTAGAAAATAACATTTAAATTGTTTTAAATTGTAAATGGTGCAACTATGAAAGACTGGCTTAATTCTCCTCGAATTGGTAAATGTATAACAATATGCGCTGATACGACTATTTTTTATCATCATTAAAAATGTAATGTCTTATTGAAGCGATATAGCAACGTCGTCTAAAACCAAACCCCATATCCATCTCCTTATCATTGGGATATGGATGCTTATATCCTGTCAAATGTATTGGAGAATTGTCCGAGATTGATTTCACTCCAGTAGAATATAATTTAAAAGACACTAATTTGATAACTTGCAGATTTCACTTTTTTCACCTAGACAGGTGTATTCTGAAATGGAATTTATCTTATTTTATATAAACTGTTAATTGATTGCATTTGGAAATTGACCAACGTGATCATATTGTAATTTCGAAAATCGAAAGTCAATGCATATAAACAAAATTAAAAATGTTTAAATATACAACTTCTGCTTGAACTATTGAATATGTTGTCTAAACTAAATGAATACCAGTACTCATTATTGTATATGAACGGATGACAGCTTTCATATTTTCATATATTTGAATAGTGATGATATTTTGATAAATATTGGCGTACACAATTGCTATTTTCTTAAATTATGCTTTTGTTTCTCTGTATAATAATCTTCTATTTAAAACTACACGACTGAGATTGAATCTTTCTTCAGTCAAGTATTGTGAAAAAGAGATGACCCCATTAGCTAGCATTATTGAGGTGGCCTATGAAAACAACGATTTATTAGTTTGAAAATATTATACATGTTATACAGACATTTATTATTTTCCTGAACAGTTCATCTTTCACACTTGGTCACGTTTATTATCCGCTATATCTTATCTAAAGTGTATTGCCGTTTAATGACACTGTCGAAAACCTCCCTCGCGTTTTTTCCAAACCATAGATAATCCATAGTTATATTCAGACTCTAGCTGACGTGTTATTTAATAAGATTTTACTTCTGTACTACACTTCACAATCCTCAATTAAGTCTTTGTCGACTGCATCAGAAAATTTTTCTTCGAATTCGACCTGGAAGAAAATTGACAATTATAGAATATTAAGATGCATTAGTACACCAATACTGATAATTTTCCCCCAGTATAGTAGCCTTCATCTGACTAAGCTTGCGATAGCTATTTTTAACGTGTTTGAGGGCTTCAAATCCAAATTTTAATGTTTTTGTGTTATATGATTCAAAACTTGTTGTCAATATGTCAAAATAAAAGCAGTTAAAAGGAATATGATAAATCCGAGAACATGAAAATAATTGTGATTTTATTTTTCGGCTGGATTTCATTCATGTGGTTCATATGCTGCATATACCCTTCTCTATTGTTTAGTCTTGACATTTCCTTTTAAAAGAGGCGAGATATACCAAAGAGGCATTCAAACTTATCAATGAAAACATACTGCCTACGCATGTTAATGCATGTTTTGCTAACGTTTTTTTTTTCTATTTGGTTCTAAGTTTTAAAGGACATCATTTGGCATGGCTTTTGAGTAATCACTCATAAATATATAAAATCAGGATTATAATTTTATCCCTTTTTTTGTTACCTCAACAACTGCTAAAATTTGCAAGTATATCATTTTTCCTCTCTTAAATACTAAACTATAAATAACAGTTCAACTTTTTCAATGAAGATTGTTATCCTGAATATACATAAAACATTTTTCAAATGACGTTATGAAAAATAATAACCAATCAATTAATCGATGACGAATGATGATTAACGTTTACATTTCATGAATTGCAAAATAAAAGTTCTGGAAATTAAAAGCATCTAAACATCTCATAATAACATCAAATTTGTTTACAATTGATACACAGTAGGATTTTTATAAAACGTTTCTTGTGCCATCATTTACAATGATTTATATTAACAGAGAATCACAAGTGTGTACTTTTTTTTAAGTTCGTCATTTCTAAAGAAATGAGGTGTAATCGTTTGATGATGTGTAATTGTTATAAAATGTTACCCAATCTGATGATGTATTAAAATCGGACGTTGCAACTTGTGCTTTGACAACATCAGGAGACTTTTCTACTTCCGGTTCTTCACAATATTCAGATGAATCTTCAATATCTAATAACACATTACATATTTCATATTCATTGTGTAAGGAAACCATTTAAGAATCATACTATAGTAGTATACAAATTTGACTTAAAAAGTGCACTAATAATAAGGTAAATATGACAAATACAGGATTTATTCAGACTCAATATACCCAGTAGTAAAAAGATGTAATTTGTGATTTTACTTCGCAGGATCAAGGACTGGGATTTGGCAACGAGACGTACAATGTAGGATAAACAGAACTTGGTCAACTGTGACCCATATATTCGATAACGATCTACTTAGGACGTCGGTGACACTTTCGATGAAATTCAAGGTTATTACATAGAAGCCGAGAGTTAAAAAAACAACGTAAAGTATCAACCTCTACTGAGGAATTCCTTATCTAAAACGCAAACTCTGCCATACCGTGTCACTTGACAATATATGGATACTGCATTATGCATGTGCTGCTTAAATATTGATACAAACAATGGGAAGTTGACAATTAACATATTGAATTCATCTCTTTCGATTTCCATGAAAATCTTAATGTCAATGTCTAAATATCGAGATGCGAGACAGTACACGACCCAGAATCAATTATATCAGTGGGAATCTTTTATTTCAGGTTTAATGAGATAAATACATGCGATTAACGTTGTCAATCTTTTATTATTTTGAAAAAGGTCATGATCAATATAGCGGAACGTGAAGTTAATGGAGATTAATAGTTTCTCTCTATGATTTGAGCTTCTTTTTTATGTTTCATACGGAAAAAATACATGGACATCAAAACATCCGGAAATATAAACTTCAGCTATATATTTGTTTAAACATGATATAAAAAAGAAGGAAAAGGAGAAAGAACAGTATATCTTTAGAAAAATGCCATCTGTACTTAGTGTCTTTTTGTTGTTGGGATGTACAAGTACCCGTCCACGTCCACTCTGTGTTTTTATTAGATGTATTTCGATTTGTATCCATCTGATGAGATAAGCCTTTTTCAACTTATTTTTATAGTTTGTTTTTATGCTGTACTGTTACACCACTGTCCCAGGTTAGGGGGAGGGTTGGGCGCCCGCTAACATGTTTAACCCCGCTACATTCTGTATGTGTCTGTCCCAAGTCAAGAGCCTGTAATTCAGTTGTTGTCGTTTTTTGCTGTGTTACATATTTGTTTTTCGTTTATTACTTTGCATATAAATTAGGCCGTTGGTTTTCTCGTTTGCATTGTTTTACATTTGTCATTTCGGGGCCTTTTATAGCTGACTATACGGTATGGGCTTTGCTCATTATTGAAAGCCGTACGGTGACCTATAGTTGTGATTTCTGTGTCAATTTTGGTTTCTTGTGGAGAGTTGTCTCATTGGCAATCATACCACATTTTCTTTATACAAAACATCAATAGTGTCAACAAAAATGCTTCCTTATCAAACTAATTTACAAGTGTTTCTGAAACTTATACTGAAAGCTTAGACAATTCTATATTATTAATTGATTACTAGCTGCTTAGCAACTGGTCGAAGTCAGATTTCTACATTGTGACAAATGTCATCCATATCAATCAAAAACGGGATTAGATCTAAATTGGTTTAAATATCATTCTTTCATCATGCTAATGTATCAGGTTTTGTTAGATGCGAGGACACATTTCTTCGACATATCAAACCTGTTTAATTTGATCTTGACCTCCTTAGAACGGTCAACTCGTGTATTTGCTGACAATTGTCCCTCTTTAAACGGTTAATATTCACTTATAATATCATTAACCAGAATTATCGGTAAATATATGAAAATGGTAAAAATACAATAGCAATGTATACAATAAAATAAAGATGTGTCACACACAGTGATAAAAAGTAAAATGACAAAAATACCGACCTTGTTGATAAATATTTGATATCAACTTCACAAATAAAAGATTATGGTCTTGAAGTATAGATTCCTGATACTAACGCTATTTATTATCTTAATTACGTGTTATAGTGTTCTTTTTATTTGTCTTTGTATGTGTTTAACGTTTACTGTTTAGTCCAATTTTGGTAATATCCTTTTGGCGTGGCTTGGTATTTATACATTCCATCATTGTGTTATTGTGCTATATAGATATAAGAAGATGTGGTATGAGTGCCAATGAGACAACTCTCCATCCAAGTCAAAATTTATAAAAGTAAACCATTATAGGTCACAGTACGGTCTTCAACACAGAGCCTTGGCTCACACCGAACAGTAAGCTATAAAGGACCCCAAAAGATTACTAGTGTAAAACCATTCAAACGTGAAAACCAACGGTCTAATCTATATAAAAAACGAGAAACGAGAAACCTGCTTTATTTTATCTGTGCCTCATGGGAACTGTCAACTCTTATATACTTCGTGTGACTGAATTTTTAATATTAATAGACTATGAAAATGTATACGAAGAAATAAACAAAGATCGATATAATTACATATCATTTCGTAACTGAAACCGAGCCAAAAGTAGATGACAATAGTCATGCAGGTATATGTTAGCTTGACTAGAGATGAACTGAAATATCGCGCTCCAAAGCAAATTCTTCAAATGGGAAAGTCCATGAGCCCCGACAAAATCAAACGTTAGAGCATATCAACAAAAACAAACGAATGTAACAAAAATGAACAATGATGAAGTCATGTTCAAAAGGTAAAAAAAACGTGTTAGTGTCACAAGAAAAATTGTGTCGCATGCTGTCACTAACAAATAAAAAGCAGAAATGACAATTTCGTGCTTTTTTGTGAGGAAAGGACCTAGAATCACATAAACTTCCTTCTAAAAGGCTGCAAATACGCACAGTGTTGCAGATGACATGGACTACAACGCTAGACAACAGACATAATCCATATACGGGTCTTCGCAGATATATTCTGCTGGGCGTCAAAAAAGTACAAGACGAAACAATGTACGTTTACCTAACTTATAAAACTTTTAACACAAATGTCTTAATTTCAGTTAGAATCAAGCAAACGTAAATCTTTTTTTTTTCATTATGTCGATTATACATTTGCCTTCACTGAAATACTAAATATACTTACTGTTTATCTCATTGGTATTTGCAGGAATGTATCCTTCAGGAAAATCCTATTAAATTTAAGAACAAAAAGCATTTGATTGAAGTCTAAATCTATGATTTATTGTTAAATTAGATTTTTGATAACTTGCATATTAAGATTGTGCCAATATTATTATGTTCTAACAGTGAGTGCATAAAATCCAACTCATCCTATCATGCTTCATTCTTTTAAGCTTTTTTCTTTTTTTCATTAATGAAACGGTGTACACTAACGTATGACTTCTACTTTTGATTTACCAAAATACCTAATACAGGTAATATTCCCCGTTCCTGCAGCCTATGAATATTCCAAAACCATAATCTTAGAAATGAACTCTTAATATATGTACCTCTTCTTGAACATCAACACTACGTTGTGTATGTCTAGGTTCTATGGGATAACAATTGCTACTTTCTAGGTTCGATTCTAGAAATAAAAATTATTCAGCGTTGAAAAAACACATTAAAATAAGATCATTCATTTCTGGTATATGAAATAGTTCTCAACAAAGCACTAAAGCAAAAGGTCACAATACTGTCAAAAAAAACAATGGAGAAAACTTTAAACTATAAATGTCAAAAGATTGTGCTTATTTCAAAAACTTTTTTATCTGGCTTTTATTTACCAAACACACCTATTATAATCATCGCTTAAAATATCTTAATTGATTTAAATTCCATTATATCATTATTTTAATGTATCAGGTTTTGTAAAATGCGAGAACACATTTCTTTAAATAATGTGTGAAATGTCAAACCTGCTTAGTTTTATCTTGACCTCCTGGGAACGGTCAACTCGTACTTCGTGTGATTGATTTTTATTATTGATAGACTATGAAAAGGTATACGAAGCCAAAAGTAGATGACAATAGTCATGATAGTCATACAGATATATGTAAGCCTGACTAGGGATTAACTAAAATATAGAGTTCCATTAAAAATTAAGGGAAAGTCCATTAGTCCCGACAAAATCAAACGTTAGAGCATATCAACCAACGTAACGAATGTATAACATATAAAATGATGAAGTCACGTTCAAAGGGTAAAAAAAACGTGTTATTGTTCCAAATAAAAAAATGTGTCGAATGCTGTTACTAATAAATTATAAAGCAGAAACTGCAATGTCATTGTTTTGTTAAGGAAAGCACCTAAAACCATTTAAACTTTCTGCAAAAAGGCCGCGGATACCCATAGTGACGCAGATGACATGGACGACAACGCTAGACAACATGTATGGGTAGTCGCAGATATATTCTGTCGGGCGTCAGAAAAGTACAAGACGAAACAATGTACGTTTATCTACATTTTCTAAGTGTATAAAACTTCTAACACAAATGTGTCCATTTCAGTTGGAATTAGCAAACGTAAATCTCTTTATTCACTTTGTCGATTATGCATTTGCCTTCACTGAAAATACTAAATCTACCTACTGTGTATCTCATTGGTACTTGCAGGAATGTATTCTTCCGGAAAATCCTATTGAATTCAAAAACAAAAAGCATTTGATCGAAGTCTATAAATCTAGGATTTATTGTTAAGTACGATTTCCTTTACAGTGCATAATGTTTGTACAGGCGGTACGAAATGTGATGGAGGCAATCTCGAAGTACCTTTGATCCTTGGTCGTGCTTTCTTAACTTGCATATTCAGCTTGTTCCAATATAATGTTGTTCTGAACAATGAGTGCACATTGTGATCACTATTAATAGGCAGTTGATACATGGTATCTAATTGCATTAGCTATCTGCAAAAAGCCAATCCATCCTACCTTGCTCCAGTCAATTAAGCTTATTTCTTTTTTCATTAATGACACGGTGTACACTTAAGTGTGACCCTACTTTTGATTTATCAAAATACCTAATATATGTAATATTCTAAGTCTTGCAGCCTATGAATATTCAAAACCTTCAATCTTAGAAATGAACTCTTAATATATGTACCTCGTCTTGAACATCAACACTACTTTGTGTTCGTCCAGGTTCTTTAAAATAACGATTGCTACTTTCTAGGTTCGATTCTAGAAATAAAAATTATTCAGCGTTAAAAGAATGCTTTAAAATACGATCCTTCATTTCTGGTACATGACATATTTCTGAACAACACTATGCACCATTCTAATGATAGCTAGATTGAGACCTGTGTTATCACTAATTGTCCAAAGGTTTTTTACAGTCTCAACTTTGTTCTAAAAAGTTGCAACAATATTTGTTTTTATATCATAAATGTTCGCCACAGCCAAGACATTGATTAACCAGGGGATAGTCAGTGCAATTACCGGACATTGTGTTTTAATTATTACAAGGGGTGATTTTTATATTTGAGTTTCGACAAAAACTGCTATGTGATATTCTTTATGGTGTTATTTTACATTCTACATCTTGTTTTTCGTTTATATATCTTTTCTTTCACTTTTTCCTGAATAATAAATAATAGTGTGCATCAATCTTAATTTCGCAACATTTTAATTTTGCATTACTTCTACTAAATCTACGCCATTTCTGATAGCTTGCAAGTTACCAAGCGTATCACTAACCAGGTTGTCATTGATTTTGTATTTCAATGTTTTCATTTCGATATTTTTGTTTGATGGTTTGTTGTCTTCTCTCATCTGTTCATTCATTTACGATCCTTATAAGCTATTTTGTCATATATGCAACTTAGTTACATTTGTATTATCTTTTTAGTTTAAAATACGTATGGTTTGTACGCTCGTGTATGGTCACCTAATACGAACATCCTTAGCAAGAGAGTGCTCCTCACACAAAAACTGCTACAACAGATATATTAGGAAGAATGAATGAAATCGACATTACATAACTTTTACAGTCATTATCATTAATTGGTTGTCCGATACGATATGGTTATGAAGACTTTTAGGTCTTTAGATACCAGTAAAGTCGTTGAATTTGTAATTTTGCCGATTGATTCCTATTATTTTGACTAAGTGTGAATTCGCAATGCCGGGTAATGCATGCATACACTTGCTTTTATCCACGTTAATATTCCTTTGTTGGATAGTTGTCTCGTGAACAATCTTTCCACATCTTCTTTTCTATATAAGGCCGACTGTGTTGATGAATGATGAATTTTAATAGTGTAATACATCTTTTAAACATTACTTACTCCTTGTTTCAATACACGTTTTATGCTCATGTTCTTCTTGATTTTCCTAAATCAATCCGATTAAACATAATTATTAGTAAATTGATTAGCACAATAAAAAACTTAATTCGTAGGCTTGATGCTATATGAAAACACATATGACAGAAAACAATAAATAATCTGAAAATCCTGCCAAAACAAATTGTTCACCATAGCTTATTAAAAGTTAAATTATGATACAATTATATATATATATATATAATTATGTTGAAATGTTAGGATAAATTGTCCATTGATACAATAACATTGTGTTTAGGGTCTTTGGCGTGTTTTATATAAATAAATACCAAGGCTGTTATCATTTTACCATTGATCAGTGAAAACAATGTTTGCTTCCGTATATGTTTATATCGAAAATATTTTTACTGCAATAAGTCACAACCACTTCAGGAAAATGTCCCAGAAATAAAACAAAAAGCCCCATAAATGCATGTTATTAGGAACTAATAGTTTGTTGCTCTCCGTTAGCTTCGTTTAAGTAGCTCCTTTAACGCTTACCGATAAGAACATTGTGTCGTCATCATTTTAATTAGATGAATCTAGTAAACTTTGATTAAGCTTATATAAACTAAATATATCTGCGCAATTTAGTTAAACATAATCGGATCTTATCCTTGTAAAACTAAAGATTTAAGTTACCAGTTGCAAATTCTTTAAAAACATATGTAACCAGCTGAAAATGTACTGATTCAAAACAATGAAATGTTACGGGACGGGTCCTTAAATGTTCATTTAATCTTAATTTGGGAGGGGTTGTTACCAAGGGAACGTGCACTACGTAACAATGGTCTATTAATAGTCGTCATTATTAACACTACATGTCAGAAAAATAACATTGAATCAAGATAAATATTCCCGTTACTAAACCATGACTTCGGGTCGAAACCTTGAATTTTCCTGGAACTGTAATGTGTGATTGCTAATGTTATTGCTTTTAATGCGTAAATAGTAAATACTTATTGTTTTCTTTTCTAAACCGGTGTATAATTCGAACTTTCAATCAACAGAGCATTACCATATTTATTTATGAATTTAAAGAAATACAAATGTTCCTTTTATTTTAGACTTAGTAATCAATCCATATCTCCTTATTTTCTTATGAAAAATCAAAACGTACAATCTTTATAATGAACTCGATTTATATATTTTATCTTATAATGTACCTCATCTGGGTCGTCTGCAAGTCTGTTGGTGGGTCTAGATTCTAAAGAATAGAGATTGTCCCTTTCCAGGTTCGATTCTGGAAATAAAATTTAATATTCAAGACAGCATCGTGTATCATTTTTGGTATATTCAATAGTTCTCACAAACACTCAGCAATAAAAGAATGATACAGGAGGAAATATTTTACCGATTTAAGCCCAAATAGAATAGCAAAGTAATTGAAACCTTCAATAGTTACAACTTAAGTTTTTAACCAGTGTAAAACATAGCTTATTGGAGAACAATAAATACATTCCCCCCGACTATGTGTTTTAATCATTACAAAGTGTGCTTGTTATATTTCATTGTCATCAACTGCTTAATTCTATCCTTTAATATGTTTATTGTGTTACTTTGACCTTCTTCATTTTCTCTTTTGACATATAACTCACTTAAATTTGAATTTAGAATGTGTATGTGTGCTCTACTTTTATCTACTAGGTGTATGGCTTTGTGATTGACTACAATTCCTTAAGGTTAGCATTAGTCGTATACCCAGTTATTGTGCACTTGCATGCTAATACATGTATACTTTGGTGTAGATATTTGATTGTTTCTCATCAATTTTATACCCTATCACTACACTTTTTTTTATCATGTATCCAACTAATCTAACACATGAATTTTGTTGCTGAAGTGGTTTTCAAGAATGACGTTGTGGGGATGTGAGCTAACTAAATTTATCACCTGTCTATGTCAGTAGTATTGCAGCTCGTCATGACTTTGTTTATTGTTAAAACGTGCATATGTTGCACATAAATTATCTAATAAAGGCCGACGTCGCAATGCCACGTTTAACTGGACATTTAATTAGGAAGACCTATTCTAGTTTTTCAGATTTTATCCGCATCTTCGTAGTACCCATAGCGGAAAAAATTAGTAACGCTTTGACACTGAGTGAGAAAAAGTAAGATATTGCCGCAATTGTGCTGTGAACAACTTTTGATGAGTATCATTTTATGTTTTAATGCACCAAAGACTTTTTAAACTTTTTTCTTAACTCACAGAAACTAATTCTATTTGTATGCCCCACCTAGGGGCATTATGTTTTTCGGTCTGTGCGTTTGTTCGTTCATCCGTTCGTCCGTCTGTCCCGCTTCAGGTTGAAATTTTTGGTCAAGGTAGTTGATGAAGTTGAAGTCCAATCAACTTGAAACTAAGTACACGTGTTGCCTATGATATGATCTATTTAAATGTAATGCCAAATTAGAATTTTGACCCCAATTTCACGGTCCACTGAACATAGAAAATGATAGTGAGAGTTGGGCATCCGTGTACTATGGACACATTCTTGTTGATTTATACTTTATTGTTAACATAAAGATATCCGCTTTCTCGATAAGTAAATATTAATTGCTCATCCGATAAGTGGAGTGTTCTGAAGTAAACGGATGTACATACCTGTACAGAACAGAACAGCAGTCTATATTCAGAATGCATATTAAATTATGTCAACACTAAATACAATTAAACTGAAAAGAGACTAAACGATTCAGGATTGATTTGAAGTCAAATGTGTAAACATAAAAGATATATACTTTTTTATGTTCAGACATTTTTTATGACTTTGAAATCGAAATATCCTTTTCATAATAAAATTGAATTACGTTTTATTTTGTCCAAAACGTCACTTGTAATCAATGACATAATTTGTCTATGGTATACAGTCGATTGTATTGACTGTAGTAGGTGAATGGTAATGTAACCTTATGGTTTCCATTACCCCTTTAGTTAGTATTTTCTCTATCTTTTGTTTTGTTTATATTGTGTTAGATATGTACATATATTTAACATTAACTTACTTTTCGTTTCAATATTCCTTACATGCTCGTGTTCGTCGTGCAATTCCTTCAAAAATCCGTTAAACATAATTATTAGTAAATTGTTTTACGCATCAAATGCAATTTATGGTTTAAGGTTACTTGTAAACAAATATGACAAACAACTAATAACCAACAAAACCTGCAAACAACCAATTGCTATAACGCTTTAAAGAAATTAATCATTTTTTAAACCCTTCAGATACTATAGTTGAAAATTTGCCACCTTTAGAAAGAAACATGGCGGTTTCCATAACATATCAAGAAAATGTTGCGAACTTTTCGATGACAAAATGATATAAATGTTAAATAAATGTATATATGTAGGACTCGGAGAAGCGATGGGGACGCTGAAGTGCGATGGTCACGCTGAAGTGCGATGGTCTTCGCCGAAGTGCGATGGTCCTTTCGCTGATGTGCGATGGTCTCTAAGACGCGCGATGGATATATTTAAAATCTACAGATGTTTAATTAAAAAAATTTATTTCATATCGGTTAGTTTAAACAGTATTTATTAATGAAAAATTACAAGAATAAAATATTACAATACAATGTTAGATAAAGTTCAAATATTGGATTCGGAAACAAGTTTGGAAAAACTTATATAAAGCCGTCTTCCAAAAAAAAAAAACACCTATTTAACAAACAATATTACGTGCCAACAGTATATTCAGTTTAAGGTAGCATATGATAAATTGAATAAATACACACACAAAAAAAAAATAAATAAAAAAAAATACAACTTACAAATAAAATAAATTAAAAGAAAGAAAATGTGAAACAAAACAAAAAATGAAACAGTCAACTCTACTTTACTTTCTTGATAGACAGTCACTGGAACCAACACACATGTCCGATTATAGTCATTTACGACGGACAATCCACTCGATTTTACATCGTTTTTATTTATATATATATATACAAGATCAACTTTCAAAACGTTTTGTTTTATTTATGTATGCAGAAACTTTATGAAATATTTGCATATTGTCCTCGTCAGACTTTAAACTGTCCCCATATAAGATAATCTTAAGATTAAAACAAGAGACCGTCCCGATAGTATCCCTTCGAATTTCATTATATTTTGGACATTTGAGGACGTAATGAGTGGTAGTTTCTACACGACCACAGGAACAGAGTTCGTTTTCGATAAGATTTTTTTTTAATAGATGGTCCCTTAGAACACTGCTCTGGAGTCTGAGTCTTGCTAAACATATCTGTTCTCTTCTACAGCCTAAGTGAAAATATAAAGGTATTTTATTAATATTTTGAGAGAGATACGTCTTAAAACCCGATTTTGATTGATTTAAACGAATGTCGTCTGGAATATCATTCCAAAGGTTTATAACGGCTGGTAGAAATGACTTTTGGTAATAGCCTGTTCTGCAAAATATAGTTTGTAAAATATCGGTTAAGAATTAGCTTCTCTTATTGGAAAACAAGGGGCCAAATGACATTCGTTATTCTTCAGTGAAAAATCCCATCGGTCTTTAACAGAAAAAAAAACGGACCAGAAAACCAGTCGTTAACGGACTTTTACATGTTAATGACGTAGTTTTTCTGTTTAGAGTGATGTCCCTTTAATAAAACGCAATCGCGATTCGTCAATTATAAAATTATAGAAAACTTTATTTTGTTTTCATATACTGAAAAATTGCACTTAAATGAATGGCAGTGACTTATAGTTATCACTATGACTGGTCTTCATTCTTTCCTATAGAAATCGTACAATAACTCGAGTTTTCTTTAAACAATTTGAATTTATGAGAATTTTAAAAACATGGTTCCTCAATGACATAAACATAATAGTTATTGAAGAACTGGTCACTATCGTGATACATGGACTGCCCGTAGGACATTGGTATTGACTGCAACAGCGATAATGACCTCCCCTAAGGCTCAGTCATTATCGCTTTCTTAGTCAATACCACTGTCCTGTAGGCAGTCCATATATCACGATAATGACCAGTTTTTCAATAACTGTTATGTAATTTATGTAACGTATATAGCGGTCAATATCTAAAGGATTGTATGAACTATAATAAATAATTGCTTTTTTGTCTGAATATATTTACAAAGTACACTACAACGTTACAGTTAGGATTGAAAAGGCAATGACTATTTATCATAACTGTTTTGGTTAAACAGGTTATACTCCCGATATTTTACATTAAAAAACTGAAAAGCTACTTCCAACAAACAATTGACTTTAACATTTACATGTGAACATTGGTTTATGTAATCCATCGCACTTCAGCGTTACCACCATCGGACTTCGTTGTAGCTTTCAAGAAGATAGCGTCACAATCCCAACATCGCACTTCAGTGTGATCAAAAACGCACTTCAGCGGCAAACCATCGCACTTCAGCGTGACCATCGCGGTTCGGAGTACCATCGCGGTTCAGAGTCCTACATATATATATAAATATATGATAAACGCAAGAATTGATAACACCGGTTTCAATGAAACATGACTGCCTCTGATAATGAAAAAATAGTTATCCACATGAAAATCTAAAATTCCTGCAGCTGCTTGATTGGTATCAAACTTTTATGAAATGATAAGTGCAATCTTCACACAAATTATTGAGAATAACCCAAACTGATAAATGAGATTATCAAAATGTTTACTATATATAAATGTTTGAGTAAGTTCATTCCTTTTCATAACTTATAAATAAAGCCGATTGGACAGTGGTCACTACCAAGAGGTTTAACACATAAGGAAATGAAAGAATATGATATTTCTCAATCAAAAATGTTTCGATTTAGCATAATAAAGAATAGACAATTCTCTGGCAGCCTACATGTATTAATTATCAAAATATCCAATCATTTGTATGAACACTAAATATGTTCATTTTTTTTAATGTACCTCTTCTTGAATGTCGACACGTCTACTAGTACGTCTAGATTCTATCGCATTACGATCGTTTCTCTCAACATGCTCAATGTTAGAATCTGGAATTAAAATTCAATATACATGTTATACTTAAGGAACCCCACCAGGTCAAAGTATATTACGTTCGTGGAGAACTCTGTTACTCAGTGGCTCTAAGGTGCCTGTGCTGCTCACTTCGGTATATGTGCATCTTCAACAACGGAAACTCTCATACATCATGTACATTGTGGACTAGAATATAATGCATGACACAAATCTTTTTTGTGTTTATCTTGTATTGCTGATTATTTTTTCTATCTACAGTTTCTCTCTATCTTCTTTATTTTTGCCAAAAACATAACAAAAGGAACAACAAATCGTCATCAAAGGGCGATCATTTCTATAAAGTGTCAAAACATTAACTGGTTTGTAGATTTTGTCTCGCTGATCATGCTTGCATTGAAAGTATCTATCTATATTTTATAGTTGTCTAGATAAGAGGCAACAAAACCAGTTTTTTTTTTTCAAAAAGGTATAGCTAGTTCCAAACATTGATCAACTAACATCTGTTTAAGTCTTTTTCAAAATTATCAGTAACAGCTACGAACTTTTCAAATTATTCAAATAGTATCAAACTAACTTAGTCTGGGAAAATCTATTTATAAGTTGCCATTGTGCTTTGAAGTAGCTGTCAGTAACTTTTAGTACTCTTAAATTTTGTATTTTGTCATATTTATCTGATGATCATTTAAATACAAACAAATTATAATGGTATGATGTTACATCATAATTGTCCTGGAAAAGGAAGAGTGTTATGTTCTCAATAATAACATTATTGTACCTCTACGAAACGAACAACTTGTAGTCCTGTGATTGTCGTTATTTGCCGTCTGTCATTTAAAATCAAGCCCTTAATTTTCTTCTTGAAATTGTTTTACATTTTGTTATCTTGTGTCCTTTGACAGCTTATTTCACTGTGAGGGTTTTTTCATTGTTGAGGTTTACTTTCTTGACCTTTGGTAAATATTTGTCTCATTTGCAATCAAACCACTTTGTTTACATTAACTGATTCAGAAGTCTCTGTCTAGTCCCGGATTGAAAACAAGTAAAATGTAAAACAGTATCGCATTCATCGATAGCACTGGCTTAAATTTTTTCTTTGTTCAGACAACTTAGCTGATGTTGATGATGATGACGATGGATGTCTGCTTATAGTCCAGCAGTAGTTGATGTTGATATCGAAATGGACATTAAAGAAAAAAATATAATTTTTGAATTTTTTTTCTCCAAAAGTTTCATGTAATCAATGAAGTAATTCTTCTTGTATCAAAATGTCGAGATTATGTTGGGTGTTGTTAACGAATGTGCATAGTGATAGAAAGCTATGTAATAATTACGTACTTTTCATATCTTTATTCCTTTTTGACTCGAATTTTTCTTTATATTTCTATGAAAATTACAGATAGATTAAAATATAACACATCAAAATATTTTCATGTCATATTAAGATTATTTGCATTAATGAAATCAAAGAGCAATCAAAAAGTACAAATCGAAGAAATAAATTATAAATGAATCACTTGCTCCTATCATGGAAGCTCAAAAAAAGATAACCCTTCTTAACTCAGCGCCTGGTGGCCTGGTTTGTATCAATTTTCTACCGTTTCAAAAAATTTCTTCTTGTAATTTCAACTAAGATTTTTTTTATAGCCAGTCAGAAAGTAACATCTGGCGATCGAAATTAGATGAGAATCATATGTGGAATACTTTTAATACAGCATTCATGACAATCCAAAACTGACTAAGCTATTTTAGAGATTTTTTTATGTTTAGAATAGCTAATTTAAAGCAATTCATCAATATATAACCTTGTTTGCAGCCTATACATCTTATGTTTAGATGAATATCGTCTAAACGTGTTTGATAAGCACTTTAAGGTAATGATATATTCAGTTTTATAGATAATTGAAATTCAGTTTGTTATGTCTTACTATTCTAAAGAAGGAGGTTCAGTAAGGATCTTTTTATCAAAGATAATGCATTTTCTGTTAATTATGACGTCATAAACAGAAATCTAATACGTAAATTTTCAAATAAGAAATACATATTTTGTATCTAGTTATTATTTGAGGAATGATACAATGTGATATTGGCCATATAAGTGTAATTTAAGAATTAAGCTAGAACAAGCTGTAATGATTGGGTCTACCGATTATATTCCTATATTATAAAGTAAAAGGAAAAGATCGATTTGTCCCGATAATATATATCATCATGACCGGTTACTTTACACAAACTTTGATTCTACATGTACTACCTCTTGATCTTTCTCTTCTGAAACGTCGTGGTCTCTGTTGTTTTTATCCTTAATTACCGTAGAATAAGGAGGCGGTCTCTCACTGTTCGATTCTTGAGTTGGAAAAAAGATGTTACAAATAAAATAACACGTTACAAGTAAAGGAAAATAATTTTCGTGTTTGATAATTTTTTCATAGATATTCCCGGTTCTCCTGATTAGGACAAGGTAACGTAGGTACACTCTAAAGTCCAGGTTGAAATAAAATCCCAGCAATTAATAAGATGCACGATTAACCTGCAATGAAACCATCTTTATTTCTCCTCTTAAATACATTCTAATATATTGAAATAAAAAAAAAAACATGAGTTAGAAGTTATTTCTTTTGTATAATTAAGACATCTTATAAATTATTTGAAGTCAGTATTCGAAATCCAGAAATATAAAAAAAAAACTTACGTTTGTAAAATTCAGTGTTGTCTGTTTTTCTTTGTTCAAACTCATCATCATGATCATACGAATCCTAACACAAAACGTTAATGAAAAAAAAAAATATACATATACAATGTATGTATTACTTCAAAATGGCCAGTGTATGAACGCCGGTGCTACAAAAGATGCTGCCTTAACTTTTACAAATCTGGCAATTTATAGATTTAATCAATGATCCCGTTAACTTATAAGTGATCTCAAACATTATGGATAGATGAGACTCAAGTCTTAATCCTTTTCCGATTACATACTGTATTTGTATTACGTTTAAAATCTATGTATCTTTGTAAAACTGTGGTATATTCACACAAAAATGTATTTAGAAGTCAAGTAAACTTCTACCTTTAACTTGCTAGTAATCATATTCAATGATCTTTCTTGAGGCACCAACAGTGAAAAAAGCTAGTGTCCAATACTAGCAAACTTAAGGAAGCGAAAAGCTTATTGTGGTAATTATGTGTTTTGCATGATATGCTGAATGATGTTGTCCATGGATGTCTGTATAAGTATATGGCGGACAATTCTTACTTGAGATTTCTTATAGGTCGTAAATATATAAATACTATTTCACAGCAATTACCTTCATGTTTCCTCTCTTTAACAACAAACGCGTCGGTACAACATACATGGCTTCATCAAATGAAGGACACATATTTAGGAATTTTTAAAGTTTAAATATCTTGTGAAATATTATGGAACTTCTATGTACTAATTTGCAGTGCATAGTATATCTTAATCTGGCTTGTGAAATCAGTTTCTTAGTAAAAACAGAACAGAGAAGACATATGTAAATTGATTTTTTCGTATCATATTTTTAGTATTCGCAAAGGGGAGAATAGCGGTCACGCTATAATGTTCAACAATATGAATGGATCTGCTGCAGTTTAGCTAATATAAAATCAGGTTTAATCCACCATTTTCTACATAGGGAAATGCCTGTACCAAGTCAGGAATATGACAGTTGCTTTCCATTCGTTTGATGTGTTTGCATTTTTTATTTTGCCTTTTGATAAAGGACTTTCCGTTTTGAATTTTCCTGGCAGTTCGGTATTTTTGTAAGTTTATTTTTTTTATTATAATTAGTATTTTTGATTCTACCAGATTCAACGTACCGAAAACTTTTGCGGAATGCCATCGTGTGGACCTGCAACAGAAGTGTTTATCAAAAGACAATGTAGACATGTTTTCAAAAAGATTTTTACAGGAATGAAAAACAAAACATTAGACACTAATATATAATTTTCAAAGCAGATAATCAGACAAATAGTAACTGTGATATAAAAATCTTTTTTTTTTCTCACGCAGTGCACCAATTGTCACCGCTTTAAAACTTTACACTTTATATAACAAGCTCTTAGATAAGCCTTTTGTTTGTCTATTTAGGCTTTTAAAGTTGTACAGTTCTTTGTCGTACAATAAATGAAATAATTGAATAGATATTTCACTAAACTTACAAGTAATTTATTGATTGCTCATAAGGTAATCAGTAGTAAAATTAACCTAAATTCAACATAAAAGACTTATTTTTATGCTGAAAAGTATGATAGTTATGGTTCATCGTTGAAGTAGCTTCAGCAACAATACAGAATGATGAAATCTGCTAGACGTATTAGTATAATCTAGACATAGTATAACAAAACTTGTTTTTGACATGCGTCTCTGTGTACAATTGATTGAATTTTCAAACAGTCGGCAAACAGGAAGAAGCTGCATGGCAGGTCTGAATTACGTGCTATAACTCCACATTATCAAGCTTCAGACTAAATATGAAATCCTTTCTTGTCATGGAAGCCACGAAAAGTTTGAAGATTTTTCCCAAGATCTTTCAGACAGACAGAATGACGATCGGAGTCATGCGGTTACTTGACCTGGTTTCGCCGTTGGCGTCGCAGGTAAAAATGGAGATGTGGCATGATTGTAAATGAGTCAACTATTGATAAAAAAAACAGGGATTGACAAAATTAAGGTCACAGTACGACAATAAGCAATGATCAAATTCCATACCGTATAGAACGATATTAAAACCAGTAGATGACACAATATAATAAGATTCAAACGAGAAAACATAAAGCCGGATGTATCATGAGAACAAAAACTTTGCTATTTAATATGATATATAAATGCCAAAGAACACAACTTTCATAGAACAAAATTCGAACGAACAAGTTACAGTTTAATTATCATAGTAGTGGCAGTATTCCACATTACCATGTGTGAGTTAAAAAGCAAACAGTTACATATATAATATATGTGTCCTTTGTCTTTATTCTAAATTAAAACTGATTAGACTTAAAATATTGACTTTGCTTTATACACTTTTTATTTTTGCGTCGAACCTGAAATCAGCCTCCATATAGTGAAAAGAACTAGACAGTAAATATTGTGTAGATATTTTCTTACCTCTTCCTCTATCAAATAGATCTTGACTGTCTGTATGCATTCCTTGGTACGATGACTACACGGGTTAAACAAAAAACGAAATAGCGTGTATAGTTTTAAGAAAAGAATACATATCTTGTAAAAAAAAGTATTAAAAACTAAAAATTGTTCAATAAATTACTGTCAGTTATTTACATAATTTGGTCTATTGGGGAACTGTATTATTTGCGTTCATGTACATGTTTGAATTATAACGCCCAAACACTGAAATTTATTTGTGTGCACACTATTATATATTAAGGTTTTTGTTTTTTGTATTTTCAAAAACACTGATTTATACATTAAATCACTAATACAAAAAGTTTTGCTACCATACTTTTCACATGCTTTAACAGACTGTTGCATTTTAACTAATAACCTAAATTTCTCGCTCTCTCTCTCTTTCTCTATATTCTAAAATAAAATTATTCTAAGATCTAATTAAATATAGTTTTTAAGATTCCTTGAAGTTTGTTTTCTTCCAATATAAATCTAGATGGCCAATTCTATATATGTAATAGCAAACTCCTAATTATGTGCAGTATTGATATAATTTCGTTGAGTGTGTACTTTGGTTTTATTAATGTATAGAAGTGAATATATACGTGTTGTCTACATAAAACTTGTACCGTTTGCTGTAGACGGTTGTCTTTCATTGATCTTCTATCCACATTTTCACATCCCTGTAAGGTATGAGGTGGGTGCATTTCAAACTTTTGCTCTGAAATGATTAACTAAATTAAAGATGTATTCCAACAGATTTTGGACTTAAACTAAACTCAAATCTATTCTGTCCAACAAATTTTCTGACAAGTAATCATGGTATATATCAAACGAGTTTTAAAAAAATCTTTCGGGATGCATAATTACACATGTACTCGCTAAGGTACATAATAATGTAATAACTATGCATTTGACTTGAAGTTGGCCTTCTACTGTACACATTTGTTTGCCTATAGTCATCGTGGTAACTAATGTTGTATTGTGAGCGTACACACGTCTGGAAATTATATTCATCTCGTCTAAATGTTTAGCATAAGACAAATATGCAGGTTTTTAAGACACTTTATTAAAATACTTTAAAAAGCATGATTGTCATGCGATGTTAATCAATACTATGGCCAAGCTTATGTGAACCTTTCAGGTGGTGTATATGATTGATTTGAAATGTTGCTGTGGGAATAGTTCCACCCGTACCAATCTCAATTCATTTTATACTGGCTGTATACGTCACTTTCACAAGGCAATCTTTTTAATTTTTTTTTCAAATTTCAAATGTTACTTATTACATGTAGTATAGAAATTAACTCATTTTGCACTCATCAATACAGCATTTCAGAAGGACTTTGTCTTTTTCACTATGTAGATGATTTTGAACTTTAGGTGGTGAAGGCTACTTTTACTTAATTGTTATGGCAAACAATGTTATTATTAAAATCATACTTTCTTTGCCAACTAACTGTTAAGTTATGAATGTTTATACTCTTCCAGGGCAGTTATTAAAAAATGTATTAATAAACAATCCATGTGTATCTGTCCACATGTATGTCAACAAATATTCTGCCGTCCATAATTCAACAATGTTCCTTTAATTTTGTAAACTTGATATGTAATGCTACCTTCTTTAGTCATTTCTAATAATAATAAAAGATGAAAATGACACGTTACAAATAATATACCTTATTTCTCTATTTTTTTCATTTACTGAGGATATTATTCAAGATACTGGGAAAAAAACAACAAAGACAAAACAATTAATAAAAAAATGACTGTCGTATTCCTGTTCTAATACAGACGTTTTCTACGAAAGAATAGTAAATTAAATTCCAGTTATACTATTTGTGGCAAAATATTTCATCAACCACCAAAATAAAAACAAGTCAATAAGCATATCAAAGCATAATCACACAACAATTAAAAGAGGTCAAAGTCAATAAAGATTTTTTTTTAAATCTTAAAATAAACTTGTCGTCATGCATATGATAATACCAATTTGATACGGAATGACAATGTTTTATTACTACATGCCCTTGCTACGCTGAAATCAATGTAGTTAAATACAAATAAGACACACAAAAAAAAACACATTTAAAATTAATAAATCTTGTATCAATAACAAGAACATGAAACGAATCCGCTCCTTTGTCGTAGTTTTTGCAGTCATTACATTTGAGGTCAGAACATATGTCTCTATTATGTTGTTTTTTTCTACATGTCTTTGTTAGATGTAACAAATCACGTTTGTTTCGTGTTAACATTAATACAGTACTTGCTTAAATGACAACAAGGATATTTAGTTACAACGAAGTGATTTTATCATTTAACTTATTGACCTTTAAAAGTCTTAAATTGCAATTATCTTAATAGAAAATATTAGCCTACTGCATGGGGTATCATGGTAAGATAGCAGGGGCGGATTATGCCCCCCCCCCTCTCTTTCACCTTATGGAGCTACATAAATGGTAACTTCATAGACTTTTTACACGTCCCAATAATTACGTTGTCTTTGTGAGACCCTCTTTTTCAGGCCATGCTGTCATAAAATTTTCGAGCATGATTTTCATACTCAGACTCAGAAAACAACAAATTAAAATATTGAATTTGGTGTTTCGAGCAGACAATTGTTAAGCCAAGTACATACATTTTTATGACCGAGAGCCCTGGATTCGAGACTGAATAGTTTCATTTGGTTAGAACAGTGACTCCGAGAAAAGTGTTGCGAAATTCAATTTCACCGTCAATTTATAACAGGAATATATTACGAAGTCCATAAGATCATTCAGGATCACCATAAATATTACAATCGTCATTGATAATCATTTCAGAAGGTATCAATATGTAATCGGTTACATACATGACTAAATGTTTCTAAAATCATAGATAATTGTTTGTAAAGTAAAATCTTAATAAATGAAATATATTTCAAACATTTAAGGTGTCTCTCATTCAAACGAGAATATTTTCCTTGTCAACAAGAGATTAAACATTATTTTACACATTATTCTACAAAATACCGACACGGCAATTATGTGCGGCACGAAAATTACAATATGCTAATAATGAACATCTGCCCCAGAATAATGCAACACCATGTCGGGCGGTGTTTAGTATTGCCGGATATCTTCAAATGTACAATTCTAACAAGAGTTTGACAAATTATAACCTAAAAGTTTCGTTTTTTTTTTATATGTTAGGAAGCTCTTTTAAGATGCACAGTTACCTTTCCCCGTTAATATACATTTAACAATAATTATCATAATAATAATGTATTTTGTGAGTTCTTACCTTTCACTTTCTCGTGTACTTCGTGAATTACTCTGTGTGACTATAAGTGAATTATGAAACATAAAATCATTTATGATTTTTTTCTAATCAATTTTTACAACAACAAATCAGGAATTCAATTCCACCTTGGCCCCTCTTTAAACCACATACATCGTAAAATATGAGTGAGTAAGAACAATTTCCAATTTCTTACTACCGCCCTATATGCAAAGGCAATATTTTGCAGTTTCTGGATGAGCAAAAGTAATTAAAATTTATCTTAATATTAAAAAAATGTAAATATATATTTACTTGTTTTGGGGTATAAACCTTTTTTGCTCTTTCATTTTCGCTTCGGTATATGAATGAAATATGTAATTCTTATGAAAAGTAATAAATTAAAATATAAATTCACATTTTGCTTACAACTTACAGTACTTGAACTTATAACCTAATTGTTTACTTTTCTGAGAATCACGCAATATAGTTTTCTTAGAAATAATTAAATCGATATCCACATTTTTTGTTTTCTATTTAAATTTGAATAACAAATACACCCTTTTTCATCAAAATTATTCTACAATAAATAAATCTTTTCTCAAGAATTTTGTAGTTTATAGACGTAAGCATATGCTAAAGTATTTACCTACCATTTTCTGTTTTTAAACATTTGCAGATCAATATCTATTTGCTGTTTACATAATTTATATCTACCGATTTCTGCTGATAATCTGTTTCTCTATTTGACCTTCTGTTAACACTAGTGTCAGATAACGAAACAGTCTTAGGTGGCAGTCTTTCCAAATCTGGTCCTGAAATAAATATTCTAAATAATTTTAATTGCATTTAATTTAACAAACACCGAATAACGTTTGATGAAGCTTATTTAATTCTCTCTTAGAAACTTTCTGTAGAGAAAAATGCGGTGTGTTGTGTAAACTTGCTTTTAGACAATAATATATCTGAACGTATATTTTAACATACTTCTTCATCATTTGTAGATGCTGATGGGCTTAGCATTCTATTTGGCTATGTGAAAATAATAGCCAAGGTTTAAGTTATAATTATCGAAGACCCAAAGAGGAGTTCATTTTATCTTCAATCGAGACTACGAATTTGCTGTAAAATGCAAAGCCCCATGAAACTCTTAATTTTATCGTACTGATTCATAAACCAGTATGAATTAAATGTAATTTCAAATATCTCTTATTTATATCAGTGCATGAACCGTATTAAAATTTTTCATTCCGTAATTACTTCGTACGTTAGTTTTTGTTATAACTTTACGATGACAATTTTATCATCCGATTGTCATGCCAGTTCATGTATTCCTTTCACTTTTGCGCTCATGATCAGTGCAGCTTACTCTCATGAAAATAACATTAAATGACTGGTCGAACGAATTATATTTTCAGCAACTTACTATATTGCCGCCTACTAGCAAGAACATATTACTTTTGATTGACCGGCCAAACGCATACTATGCAGCAACAGTAATGACTACCCCCGAAAAGGTTCACTTAAATATTATGACAAAAATGAAGAATTTAAATTATTAGATAACATTCTAACAGATATGTATGAAAGAAATACGACGTTAAAATCAAGAATGTCAGACAGCAAAAGTCAAATGTTGCGAACATCTCGGGGAAAAAGTCTCTCATAATCTTTTCATAGCGATCAAGTATGCTATTGAAAACCAAATCAATATGTTATGTTTTGCATGTACGTCAATTTTCATTGAAATCTTGTCAACGAAGAAAATACTTTTTTCGAAACTAATATCATTTGATTTATATTGTATTTTTGTCCATTCTGTAGATGCCCAACATATAGGGATAATAGTACCAGTTAAGAGTTAAAACGTATGGTTCATGTATCGGAAAGCAATCCTATATTTTCCTTTGAAATAGCTTGTTCCCACTACGAGTTTTTATTTCATGTGTAATTGGGCTTCAATTAAAAGACAATGAACCATGTGTTTATACGACCCTGAAAGATCGTATTTCTCCTGAATACCCCTAAGATCAAAACAACTAAATGGCTAAGTAACTTTAAAATTATGTAATTGATCTGTTACTACAGCAATAAAAATTGACTTCTTATTTTATATTTATTTTTTTTTTATTTCGCCATGTGAAAAAGAGTAACGATCACTTATATATGAAAATGTTTTCAATGATATAAATTACATATGAATAAAGTATAAACAAAAGGTTTAAGTCAATGAGATAGCAACCAAACCACGTAAAAAATATTGCCCACGACGCTACAACCCAACGACACAAAAAAAGACATCTATCGATCAACAATAGACAAATACGACAGCTGTAAATCACATCGAGTTTTAAAGAAGTAGATCAGAGTCTCAGGCCGAAAAAATTTGTTCTGATTGATTAATGCCCAATGAGAGTTTATACAATTAAAAGTTCTTTAATTGTGTTAATATTAAATAGTTTCCTTTTTTTCAATATCATTGTATCCATTATCTAGATAACTTATCCCCTGGTTTCGTGATAGCGTGCATTAAACCGAAAACAGCCATCACATGTTCATGTCACGTGTCTTTCCATATTAAGAAACCATGTCATTGGTTGTGTGGTTGTCTTATATTTTATGGTTTTACTTTGTATATAAATCATGTATATAAATATATATATTGATTTTTTTTATTGACTTTTCTATCTTTCATTAATTTTTTTTTGTAATTCGGAGATCGGGTTTGAATTATTCTCGACTATTGGAGATTTTAAACTCTATTTTTTGTACAAACGTCTATCTGTTGTTAAATAATATTGTATCCTGTAAATGTCTTCTAGTTTGTTTGTTTTTGTCGTTCAGTTGCTGTCTCATTAACATGTCCTTTTTATCACAAGTAAAAGCATTATACTTGGTATATTACACATTTTACCTTCCCATGACACGCTTTCTTCTCTATAATCATCAATACGATGCATAGCATTCGATCCATCCTGTTAAATGCACAAAAATAAAACAACTGATAAATAGTTTAAGTCAATATTAAGGTCAAGACGAAAAACGCCTCTCGTTAAAATTTCTATCGATCGTTAATAATTGATATTTTCGGAAGGTTCGGTGACAAATACTTGAAGCACATTCAGGAGGATTCTATATTAGGCGCATTTTTGAAACATGTGGAAATAGCACATTTCCAGTAATTTCATGTCGAAAGGACAAATCGAGAGTTGGATGTTCGAAACACTATCGCAATTCAACATGACAAACAATAAATTAATTCGCACGGAAATCAAGGTTGCCATGTTTTAACAAAATAAAACCGAGATTCCTTTTCAACTTTGATTGATAATGAAACATAGAGGTAATCACTTATTTTTATATTTTAACTTTAACTTCGTGCTTCATTTGGCCTGTTGAACTCTTTTGATTTGAGCTCTTTCAAAAATTTAATTCAAAAAGTTTACTTTGCAAATTTGAAAAAAAAAAAAACTGTTTTCCTCTTTTCCAACACCTCTTCTTATTTCATTCATTAATATTTGATCGTAGAAATAATTGGTGGTTGTTATGCTATTTCGGAACTGGGCTGATATGCATGAAAAGAAGATAACAAAAATACCGAACTCCAAGGAAAATTCAAATCGGGAGGTCCATTATCAAATGGAAAAATCAAAAGCTCAAACACATCAAACGAATGGAAAACAATGTCATATTCCTGACTTGGTACAAGCATTTCATTATGTAAAAAATTGTGGATTAAACCTGGTTTTATAGCTAGCTTAATTTCTCACAAGTTAAAGGTCAGGACTGATATGCATAAAACCACTTAAGTTAAGTTATCCAATCGTAGTACAAATTTATCGCAGGACAAAAAGAAAAATCCGTCCGTTCGGAACAAATTTTAACTTAAGTAGTTTTATGCATATCAGCCCTGACCTCTATCTTCAATAATGATGTGCTAATAGATGCCTTTATCTTAATCATTTTCGGTCAACATGTATTAATTGATTACTAGTTCTTTATTATCATTAAATTGTGTAAATATATATTAGTACCGTACATGTATACCATGTTTAACCTCATACTTCATATTATGCGATACCATATTTCTAAAAATCATTATTCACTTGCATCGTTCCTATATTTCAGCAACAAAAAGAGGGTTGAAAAGATGGCGGCACTCACAGGCACTCGTCTCTGAAATTGTTTTACCTATATACTTTTATATCAATAAGGTAATTTGGTTCAGAGACAAGTGCCTGTGTCGGCACTGTGCATTATTGGAACTAAAAGATAAGACCGCGACTGTCAACTTTGCATAAACTACTTATATAAAGTTTAATAAGAAGGTATAAAGGTACAACGCAATTGACCCCTAAGGGTGACTGGGAATAGAAATATGATTACTTTTGTCTTTTTCCGACAGGCAGTAAAACTATTTTCAGATTAAGGTGTACGGGATGTAAAAGTACGTAGCAACGTTCGCGATCAGAATGTGGACGTTAAATCCATGCCACTTGTAGAGAGAATATTTCGCTCCCTGCACATTAAGGACCCTTGCAACAACTCGTTGAGGGGTCTGTAGGTGGCCTTTTGAAAGGTTAAATTCTATCCCTATATAATATTCTCTCATTTTCTACAAAAGTGGCAGTCCTTCTTCCCGAACTGCCTCTATTACAGGACCTAACTATTGTAAATATTGTTAATGTGTTCTCGTCCTGAACATACATGAAATATTTGTCACTGGACGTTAAGCAACCAACAATCAATCAATATAATGCATGCGTGTGAGAATAGAAATGGAATAACATTTCATCTCATTCCATTAGTTTATGATAAGATTATTTGATCAAAGATAATAGAATCAGACAAAAGTGTTGCAAACTGAAAAAGACGACTGTTATACACAATGATAATAACAGTATTATTATAAATAATCGTGTATATATACTAGTCAACAAAAGTAACGATACACAAGTTTGAACTCCAATTTATCATAACACATAATAAATAGGAAAAATTATTATACCTCAGTATGTTTTTTCTATGTAAAAAAGAATTAAATAGTTGTGCTATTTCATTCCACAGACTATTTTCCAGTCAATAGTTTCAAAGACTATTACCCCGGTTAATAGTTTAATAAACATATTTCCCGTACTTTTTCATACTAATTTTTCATTGGACAACATTGACGTCATAGACTATTTTTCTTGGATTTGTGTGCTTGTCAACGTTAAACAACTCTGAAATATCGTAAACGGTATAATCTGTATGTGTCTGTCGTCGTTATTTCAAATTTTCAAATTAATATATTACTTACCAGAAGCAATTAAAAAGAAAAAAAAATCTACATGACATATTTTAAGAACTAAAACATAACAAATATATGGTATGGGTCTGTCGTCGTCTTCATAATCTGAGATTGCTTTGGTGTATTTTAGCTAACGTGTATTATATGCACGGGAATTTTTACACAAGGATTCCTGATCTTGATTAAAGTAAATAAAATATTGACAAATACCACACGGGCAAAAAAAAACCCGATAGTTCATCTTGTGCATGTTTATGTGACTATTTGGGGTTTTTTTTCAAGTGGTGTATGTAGTCTTTTGAAAGTTGTTTTGTTCGGTATAATAAAACACTTAATGACTGGTTATGAGGGTAATAGCAAGTCTGTTGTCCCTTTGATACCAACTATTGCCATCGGCTTCGCCTCGAGCAATAGTTGGTATCTCAGGGACAACAAACTTGCTATTACCCTCATAACCAGTCAATAGGTGTATACTGTTAAATTATCCAATGAAAAACATCCATTTGCAAAGCAAATGCATATGATTAAAAGAATCTGACCAAACTGGAAAGTGAGAAAATACCGTGATATTGAACACAGGGGTCAAATTTATTTTGCAGAAAATGATGACAAAAGTCGTCACTTAATTTCGAAGATGAGAATTAAGTATTCAAATATCTGCAAAGGAAAATTTTAAGCAGACCATGTCTAAGTTTAAAGTTTTAAGTTCTTATATCGATTTTTGAATTTTTTGGTGAAAATACGATTTTTGAAATAACAAAAATTGCAAAAATATTTGCGTATTTGCCTTAAATCAATGGTTTTGATAAGAAAATAACACTCTGTAAATATTAGACCAATTGGGCAATTATTTACCTTGGTACAGCGTATCCAATTTCATTATATATGGAAAATACATTGCCTTGTATCGTTTCTTTTGTTGACAAGTATAGAAGAACTTAAAGCAAACTTATGTGTTGACATTTTTAAAAAAAAGGAAGTTGTAACTAAGGTAACAACCATTGATTTGTGTTGTTATCTTTAATCCTATTACATATCGTTATCAATAAATTGTTTGATTATTAAACAAATAAGTTTCAGAAGGAAAAAGAAAATAGTTTGTATGTATAAAAATTATTAAATAAAATCAACTTTGTTATAGATAAATCTTGATCCTAAATATTATTCAAAAAAATATTATCTTTTTTATTAAATTTGAAGAAGAAAAAATGTTTTGTCCGGATTCAAAAGTTAAACGCTTGTCCCCCAACACATTAATGGACGATGCCTTACATGTAATACCTTACTGTCGAATGTATTTTGTATATCTTATTGGACATAATTTATATATTTATATACCTTTATGACTCATTGACTTTTATCCTGTATTTCTATAGACGTATTTACACTTGTATGCAAATTTGTCCGCCATTACGTAAAATCACACAGGTTCCCGTAAACTTTGACATCATAATTTAAAACATTTGACGTCACAATTAAAAAGTGATTGTTGCCTGACGTCAAAAGGTGATTCGGATTAGATCTAAGGTCATTCGGAGGCAAAATATAGCTAAATACCGAAAGTGTAAATACGTTTATGTATTGATAACGTTATTCTTGTGCATAATCATGCAATCAATATTCAAAGAATAATCCTTCAATGCCGGTTAAAATAAACATGCCTTGTTTTGTATATGACCACAACACGATCTACCTCACAAAGTAACAAGCAAATGATAAGATATGTTACTGTACCCGGAATCATCACTTGGTTACGACAAAAACCCTAATATGAAATAATGAGATGTGGTATGATTGTCAATAAGACAACTAGCCACAAAGGCATGACGCAGATGTTAGCGAGTATAGATCATTGTACGGCCTTCAAAATGACATAGCAAGTTGAAAAGGCTCCTGACTTGGGACATGCGCAAACAGAATGCGGTGGGGTTAGACATGTTTGCGGACGCCCAACCCACCCCTAACGATGGACAATGGTTTAATAGCAGAACATATGGAAAAAATAGGAAAATCAGTGAGCTTGACTTCTCAGATCGATACAAAGCATAAAAACAACTAACAAAAATTCTAAGGACACAAAGTACCGATCTGAGAGTACTCGCAGTTACTGAAAGCTAGTTCTAAGCCAATAACAACTAAAACAAAAATCATGATCCAAGACAAGATATCAGTTAGTACACATCCAAACGATTTAGTGTAAAGATGTCATAAACAGTCGAAGACTTGGAGATCATCTAAATGTTATTGTAATTTTTGTTTATCATACGAATGAATAAAAGCAGGAGGATGACACAAAAATCACAAAGTGCCAGGTATTAATTTAATACCAGTAGAATTGTGTAGAAATATCTTATTATTACATGTTTTAAATACAATATTGAATTAGTGTTTTGAAATAGGCAAACTTCCCTCTGTATGGAGTAAGGGGTTAATAAAGTCTATACCTAAGTGATCTACATCGAACCCAAGATATCCATTGTCTTACAAGGGCATAATAACATATACTTCAAAAAAAAGTAAAATCACAAAAATACTGAACTCCGAGGAAAATTCAATCGGAAAGTCCCTAATCACATGGCACATTCAAATGATAAGCGTGATCACTTATGGCATGGTATTGGTTGCAAAAATTTGATATTTTTCATTTAAATGCAATATTTTTCATTTAATTGGTATATTTTTTCA